AAAAAAAAAAAAAAAAAAAAAAAAAAGGAAAAAAGCATATACACACATATATTTTCTTTTCTTTTTTGAGTCAGTGTCTCACTCTGTTACCCAGGTTGGAGTGCAGTGGCACAATCAGAATTCACTGCAGCCTCGACCTTCTGGGCTCAGGCAATCCTTCCACCTCAGACTAATAAGTAGCTGGGACTACAACATATGTCACCACACTTGGCTAATTATTTTGATTTTTTTGTAGAGACGAGGTCTCCCTATGTTGCCTAGGCTGGTCTCAAACTCCCGGGCTCAAGGGATCCTCCTGCCTCAGCCTCTAAAAGTGCTGGGATTACAAGTGTGAGCCACAGCACCCATTCCACACATAAATTTCTTTGCTCTGTCTGCTGAGATGGCCTAGAAATAATAATACATCAGGAGCAACTAGCACACCTAGCAACCAGATCTTGGTTTTCATCTAGTGTCATTCAGCAATAAAAGGAAACAGGGCTGCTTGAAAAAAATGGCCATCCCACATCTTTATAATAAAATTTTTTAATTTTATTTTATTTTATTTTGTGAAGAGACGACTGAGTGGTTAGTGCTGCGTTGCCGGTCTCCAGCAGCAGTTGGCTTCTCCACGAAGAACCCGGGAGTAGTACACTCAAAATCTTCTCTCCCTCTCCCCTCCTGGTTACAAAATACTTGAATACATAAGTGAGTGGAACTTTGCTTGAGTGAGATTTTTTTGATCTTCAGCTACATTTTTCGGCTTCGTGAGGAACCTTACCATCAAACACAAAGGCTAGCAATGTTACCAACAAGACAGATCCTCGCCCCATGATCTCCCGTGTATTCATCGGGAATCTTAACACTCTTGTGGTCAGGAAGTCTGATGTGGGGGCAATTTTTTCGAAGTATGGCAAAATTGTGGGTTGCTCTGTTCATAAGGGCTTTGTCTTCGTTTCGTATGTTAATGAGAGGAATGCCCGGGCTGCTGTAGCAGGAGAGGATGGCAGAATGATTGCTGGCCAGGTTTTAGATATTAATCTGGCTGCAGAGCCAAAAGTGAACCGAGGAAAAGCAGGTGTGAAACGATCTGCGGCGGAGATGTACGGCTCCTCTTTTGACTTGGACTACGACTTTCAGCGGGATTATGATGACAGGATGTACGGTTAACCCAGCACGAGTTAGGCCTCCTCCTCCTATTGCTCGGGCTGTGGTGCCCTCGAAACGCCAGCGTGTCTCCGGAAACACCTCACGAAGGGGCAAAAGTGGCTTCAGTTCTAAGAGTGGACAGCGAGGATCTTCTTCCAAGTCTGGAAAGTTGAAAGGTGATGACCTTCAGGCCATTAAGAAGGAACTGTCTCAGACAAAGCAAAAAGTGGATTCTCTGCTGGAAAACCTGGAAAAAGTTGAAAAGGAACAGGGCAAACAAGCAGCAGCAGAGACGAAGAAAGATACGGTAGAAGAGGAGCAAACTACCACCTCGGTGAAGAAAGGCGAAACTAACGTGAAGATGGAGTCTTCAGGTGACTCTGCTGAGGAGGGGGACCTACTGGATGGTGAGGATAATGAAGATGGGGGGATGACCAGCTGGAGTTGATCAAGGTTGACGAAAAAGAGGCTGAGGGAGGAGAGGATGACAGAGACAGCGCCGATGGCCAGGATGACTCTTAAGCCCATAGTGGGGTTTAGAGATCTTGTCCCATTATTTCTTTCCCTAGACGCTTGTCTAAGATCAAAATTTTCACCAGATCCTCTCCCCTAGTATCCTCAGCACATGCTCCCTGTTCTCCCCATCCTTGTCCTTCCCCTGTTCATGAATTCATATTGCCCTGCACCTAGGCCCATTTTCACTTCCTTTGAACGCTCCTAGTAGTTTTGTTAAGACTTACCCTGTAATTTTTTTTTTTTTTTTTGGAGTTGAAGTCTCACTCCCAGACTGGAGTGCAGCGGCCGCTCCCGGCCACCGCAGCCTCGACCTGCTGGGCTCCGGCGATCCTTCCGCCTCAGCCTTCCGAGTAGCCGGAATTACAGGCATGCGCTACCACGCCCGGCTGATTTTTTGATTTATCGTAGAGATGAGGTCTCGCCAAGTTGCCCAGGCGGGTCTCGAACCCGCGGGCTCAGGCAACCCACTCACCTCAGCCTCCCAAAGTGCTGGGATTACAAGCTGAGCCACCGAGCCCGGCTTTACCCCGTAATTTTTGCTTTTAATTTTGATACCTCTTCATGACTTAATAATAAAAAAGATGTATGGTTTAAAAAAAAATTTTTTTTTAATGGAAAAAAAAAATAGCTGATCCTAGGACTGAGGCAGAAAATATGCAAAGTGAGCCTAGAGCGTGTTACAGTGCCAAAAAGTAAGAAAATGTTAAAAAACAAACAAATTAAAAAAAAAAAAAAAAAAAACTAACCCAAAACACTGCAATAATGTGGTCATAGCAAAAGGACACAGGAGTCAACTGAGAAAGCTCTCAGTGGCCAAGCTGAAACAATTTGAGCAACAAAATACAGAGTGTTGGTATCCATGAGTCCATACACAAATAAATATTAAATGCAGGCCGGGCACGGTGGCTCACTCCTGTAATCCCAGCAATTTAGGAGACTGAGGCAGGAGGATCACTTGAGCCGAGGAGTTCGAGACCAGCCTAGACAATATCACGAGACCCTCTCTACAAAAATTCAAAAAATTAGCCAAGCATGGTGGTGTGTGTCTCCAGTCCCAGCTCCTCGGGAGGCTTAGGTGGAAGGGTTTACTGAGTCCAGGAGGTCGAGGCTGCTGTGAGCTGTGATGGTGCCACTGCATGCAGCCTGGGTAACAGAGTAAGACCCTGACTCAAAAAACAAAACAAGCAAACAAAAACCCCATGAATCAGGCCGGCTCGGTGGCTTAGCCTGTAATCCCACGCCTTTGGGAGGCTGAGGTGAGTGAACTGCCTGAGCCCGCGGGTTTGAGACCCGCCTGGGCAGTGAGACCTCATCTCTACAATAAATCAAAAAATCAGCCGGGCATGGTAGTGCATGCCTGTAATTCCGGGTACTCGGAAGGCTGAGGCGGAAGGATCGCCGGAGCCCAGCAGGCGAGGCAGCGGTGGCCGGGAGCGACCACTGCACTCCAGTCTGGGTGACTGAGTGAGACTCCAACTCAAAAAAACCCCAAAAAACAAAAAACCCATGAATCAATAGAGGAAAAGAGACAAATCCCCAAGCAGATGAATTCCAAAGAATTAATGTAGACACTCCTCTTCGAGGAGGTGAAGCCCAACTCCCCAGGTGCTGCTACTATTTTCCATTGACATGACCCCATGGAATGGCATTTTACCCATGTGGTCTTCTTTCCAAAACCCATTACCCCAGGCTAATTGTGAGAAAAAACATCAGGCAAATCCCAGCTGACTAGGACTTCAAAACTGTCAAGGTCATCAACGACAAGGCAAGTCTGAGAAAATGTCATGGCCAAGAGGAGCCTGGGGAGACACGATGGTTAGATGCATGTGGCATCCTGGAAAAGTAAGAGGACACTGGGGAAAAGCTGTGAAAATCTGAGTAAAGTATGGACTTTAGTTAATGATAGTGTATCAATATCAGTTTGTTATTTGTAATGAAAGTGTCATACTAGGATGTTAACTTTGGGGACAGCTAGGTGTGGGTTTTATGTGAACTGCTTGTACTATCTTCCCAATTTTTCTGTAAGTCTGAAACTGTTAGAAAATAAAAAGATTTATTTTACTGTTTTATTTTATTATCTTATTTTATTTGAGTTGGAGTCTCACTCTGTCACCTAGGCTGGAGTGCAGTGGTACACTCACAGCCACCACAACCTCCACCTACTGGGCTCAGGCGATCCTTCAATCTCAGCCTTTCAAGTAGCTGGAACTACAGGTGTGCGCTACCACACCTGGCTTATATTTTGATTTTTTTGTAGAGATGAGTTCTCACCAAGTTGCCCAGGCTGGTCTTGAACCCCCAGGCCCAGACAATCTTCTTGCCTCGGCCTCCCAAAGTGCTAGGATTGCAGGCTGAGCCACCGTGCCTAACCAAAAGTTTATTTTTATTTTTATTTTTTTTGAGTTGGAGTCTCACTCTGTCACCCCGACTGGAGTGCAGTGGCCGCTCCCGGCCACCACAGCCTTGACCTGCTGGGCTCCGGCGATCCTTCTGCCTCAGCCTTCCAAGTAGCCGGAATTACAGACATGCGCTACCACGCCTGAATGATTTTTTGATTTATTGTAGAGATGAGGTCTCGCTGCCCAGGCGGGTCTCGAACCCGTGGGCTCAGGCAATCCACTCACCTCAGCCTCCCAAAGGCGCGGGATTACAGGCTGAGCCACCCAGCCCGGCTCAAAAGTTTATTTTTAAAAAGTCAAATTGGCTGGGCACAGTGGCTCAGACCTGCAATCCCAGCACTTTGGGAGGCCAAGGCAGGACAATCACTTGAGCTCAAGAGTTTGAGACCAGCCTGGGCAATGCAGTGAGACTGAGACCTCATGTTTACAAAAAAAAAAAAAAAAAAAACCCAAAAAATTTAGCCAAACATAGTAGGAGGTCAAGGCTGAGGTGAGTCATGAGCATGCCACTGCACTCCAACCTGGGCAACAGAGTGAGAATCCAACTCAAAAAAATAAAATAAAACAACTTGAGTATGCACAAAAAAGAGAAAAAAGGAGAATGCAGCTAATAAATATGGATGGAATGAGATCTCGTTGTATTTTGCAATCCTTATCGAGGTAGTAATGGATTCCCCCAGAGGCATGGGTGAGTGTTAATTGAGTCAAGGACAACCAGGGAAGAAGGCTTTCCCATAGCCTGAAGGCATCATCCTGCAACTTGCTTATGAATCGCACACCTTTATAGAGAAGGAATCTGAAGATTTCTGTTTTTGTAGAAACTACCTATCAAAATGCTCAATCTTAGCCTCTCCCTTGGTAGGCTAACCTGATCTCATACGCAGTAGAATGCAGCAAAAAGCACACAATACCAAAGTGAAGAATGTTTGCTAAAAAAAATATTTCTTCTAAAATTATTCATGAGGAAACAAACTCAGAACTCAAAACACTCTATACAAGAGTTGTCCTGGACCCTTCAAAAATCCAGAAAACAATAACAACAAACGAGGCAAAGGGAGACATGACTGTTTTGGGTAAAAAGAGATAAAAGAGACATAACAACCAAATGCAATGTGTACATTTGTGTCAGAACTTGGATAAAAAATAAAACAGATATGAAAGCACTCAGACACTTGCATATTGATTGTACATTAGAGAATATAGAACTAACGTCAATTGTTTAAAGTTGTGTTGCCTGGGCACGGTGCCTCAAGCCTATAATCCCTGCACTTTGAGAGGCCGAGGCCAGAGGATTGCCTGAGCCCACGGGTTTGAGACCAGCCTGGGCAACATGGTGAGACCTTGTCTCTACAATAAATCAAAAAAATAGCCGGGCATGGTAGTGTGCACCTGTGTAGTTCCAACTACTTGGAAGGCTGAGGAGAAGGATCACCGGAGCCCAGTAGGTTGAGGCTGCAGTGGCCAGGAGTATGCCACTGCACTCCAGCCTGGGTAATGGAGTGAGACTCCAACTCAAAAAATAAAAAAATAAAGTTGTGATAGCAGCGTAGGGGGGTAGGGATGAAAAATCTTCCATCGGGTACAAGGTCCACAGGTAGGGGGGAAGGGCAGACACACTTAAAGCCCTGACATCACCAGACACAGTGGCTCACACCTGTAATCCCAGCAATTTGGGAGGCGGAGGGGAGAGGATGGCCTAAATCCAGGGATGTGAGACCAGCCTGGTCAACTTGGCGAGAGCTTGTCTCTACAATAAATAAAAAAATTAGCCGAATGTAGTGGCAAACACCTGTTGGCACAGACCTGTGGTTCCAGCTACTTGGGAGGTTGAGGTGGAAGGATCACCGGAACCCAGCAAATCGAGGCTGCAGTGGCCGTGAGTGTGCCACTGTACTCCAACCTGGACGAAAGAGTGAGACTCCTACTCAAAAATAAAAACAAAGCCCAGACTTCTATGCCAATATACAATGTATCCATGTGACCAAAACCATTTGTACCCATAAAGCAACTAAAATTAAACTTAAAATAAATAAAGTTGTGATAATAGCATTGTCATTATTAGGAATATGTTCTCATTCTCAGGAGACGCATACTGAAGTATTTTAGAATGAAGTGCCATGATTTCTGCTACTTATTTTATGACTCAGCAAGAAAATGAATGTGTGAGTGTTTCCATATACATTTATAGGAACAGAGAGAACGAAAGTTTGCAAAATGTTAACAATTGGTGAATTTTGTGAAGGAATGTTCATTGTACTCTTTCAACTCTTCTGGAGATTCTCAATTTTTCAAAACAAAAAGTTGGAAATAAATTTCAAAAACATATATATTATACAGAGGATGCCAAAAAGTATATACACATCTAAAGTAAGGAAACACTGTATTAAAATTGTGATACTCGAGGCCGGTCGCAGTGGCTCACGCCTATAATCCCAGCACTTTGGGAGGCCAAGGTGAGAGGATTGCCTGAGCCACTGGGTTCGAGACTAGCCTGGGCAACTTGGTGAAACCTTGTCTCCACAATAAATCAAAAAATTAGCCAGGCATGGTGGCGCGCACCTGTAGTTCCAGCTACTTGGAAGGCTGAGGCGGAAGGATCACCTGGAC